AGGAAAAAAATAGACAGGATACAGCTATTAAAACCGAAATCTGTAGTTGAGATTAGACTAATTTGCTTGTTAATTTCTCAACGTATATTCTGTTTTTCGACCCGAAAACCTTGCGAAAATTTTCCTTGTGTATTCGACTGTCAAAATGTCTTTAACTAATGCAAGTTCCGGAAATTACTTATATGTAGATTATAATCAGGGAGACTTCAGAAGAGAGACAAAAATATTTTATATGACAACAAAAAATTTACTTGGAGAGAGAATGGTAAAAAAAAGTTGTATATCTTTATAATTACAAATGAAAAAATAAATAAAAAATATCGAGGAGGGAGGCTGAACTCTCCAAACTTGCTCTTGAATATGCCTCTTAGATGACTATGATAAATCACAACGAGAGACAGTATTTTTTTCACCCAATAGTCTACTACGACTTAATTATACACGCAAAGTATATACGGTTGCCCCGCGTCGGAAGATATCCAAGAGAAGTTAGATCTCTCTCATTCGTGTGTGCCAGGGACAGGAGAGATTACAATAAATTGCACACACACCCTTCTCGAAATACAAGACACGTATAAGAGAGATGAGGAAAGAGGAGAGAAAAAGAATCCTGTTCGCGATACTATGTTCCCTATTGAGCCACGTTGCTTCCCGTCCCGTCCAAAGGGCGGTGACGTTTCACAATGGTTTCGTTTTTCTCACCTTTCCCTTCATTGATTAGATAGACACTTTCGTAAGCCGCCATTCATTGTCAGATTACTAGGGAGCATTTTGAAATATCGTACAAGGTATCTCAAGTTTTTCGCGATATTACTTTTATTTACAAATTATTGAATCAAACTCATCTACGGCTCACGAACTTTGACGAATCGTGACAGAATTGTAACAGCATCGTTTGAAAACACCTTATATAATATGTATATTTGACAAATACTTGCAGCACAGATATGTACTTGTTATCCTCAAAGATCTGGCAGATATAAACTTGATTACGCCATCGGCTGACTTTACGAAGGTTACAAAAGGATAGGAATTTCAACATTGTGTGAGATGGTACGTACGTCGGAAACCGGAGGGGTTGATGCCGGGAATCCGATCCCTGAAAGAATGATATTTTAATAACGGTCTTTGCCGGTATATAGGTAGTAGTATTATCTACTGGCGAATCCTACAGGAGTGGCTCTGAACGCGTGTGTGCAACACTTATACAAACGTATCACACGACACGTTGAGGGTTTAAGAATCATCTTCTCGGTGCGCCAGCAGCTACATTAACGCGGACTCTTGATATTGCATTCCTTTCCTTTGACGTCCTCGAATGTCAATTATTAATGTTATTATCTAGATGCCACGCCGGAGACAGGGTGGAGATAGCTGTATCCTGCTGCGGAATTTTCTCTCGGCATCCTACGAGGAACGTTCATTCGTGCTCAATATATATATATATGTATATATATATATATATATATTGTATATACATGTATTATATTACACACACACACACAAGCGCGCGTTATTCAGTGTCGCCGAGACAAATCAATTGAATAATGCGATATTAATTAGCGATAATTATAATGCAAATTGCAACTTAATTAGTCGTAACCTTTATAGAAAAAGATGTACGAGTTATATAAGTAATTACAAAGGAATTTATTTACCGGAACGAAGATATTATTTGTATTTATCACAATTATTTTTAGATGAGCATTTTTTTGCAAATGAGAAAGTTTGCAGATACGAAGCAAATTTAAAACAAGAATATGTATATATATATATATCGCAAAAGAATTAAATAATTGCTACCAATCGACAAATCGCGTGTTCACCGATCCATATAATCGAGAAAATCCGGATAATCTACCAAATGGAGAAATCGCGGTTAAGAACTGCACGATAAAGAGTCCCGTGCTTAAACAGGCACGCAAATGGGCGCTCGTATATATAGTATATAAGTACAAGAGGGAGGGTTAAGGGGATAAGGGGGTGAAAGCGGAAACCGCGTAACCGCTCTGGCTACATTTCCCCCGGCCTATCAATCTCTCCCTTACTAATAAAACGGAACGGTTAAACTTTTTAACGAGCGGTCAGAGAGAGACTTTCACCTCCTAAGCGCGACCAATCATCCAACGGAATTCTTTCACGCATTATCGACGCCTTAATAGTCGTGCACGTGCTTACGCGCATGTATGTAACGGCACCCTCGACAATTCTATACCCTGTTTTATGTTTTATATTGCCAAAGATGCCTCTTTGGCTTCTGCACGCCAATGTATTGTATATGTATTGTACAATATATATACATGTTATTTTCCTCAATTAGATTTTCAACAAATCACAATTCTTGATTGTGCAAGTAGAATCATGATATGGAATATGCCTTTAGGTTTTTCTGTTACTTTACTCTAAAGCATTTCAAATAGAGATTCCCTTCTATTTCAGGCTTAAAGCGACCTAGAATCTCCGAAAACACGACGATCTTATCGACCAGCGATACGGGCAATGAAGACGATCGTGATTCTGATTCCGGTGGCGAATTACGAACCGATCGTTCATTAGGTAAAACGTTTATTCATTTATATGTATATGTATATGTATATGTATATAATTATATATTTTATATCGTTTCTCCTTACTGTAAAACCTTTCAAAAGGTACACAAAGGTATAAGTATAAAATTATCCAAGAATTTTTCATTTTGGATTTACATGTTATACATATATGTATAACACGATTGCAACAACATGTTAAACTGCTCACCATCACGCAAGTGTATCAGACTTGTAATATTTAGCAAAAATTATAATAATGTATTAATATATATTGATAAACGCCCAATTGCTTTATATACTTTGATTTCAACATTTACTAAGAGCTGAGAGATTAACTCGAATCGGTATCCCGATTGCTCGAATCGATTTCAAACTATTGAATGTTTCATGCAAAGTTCCCCGTTGAAGTGGCAAATGTTACAGTGGTGTCGACGTCGTCGGGAATAGCGGAGTCTGAAGCGACGGCGAGAAAACGCACTAATAGCCTAAATGATTCGGAAGAGGGTAGTCCAGAACCGGGCTCGCAGAGTCCGACGCACACTCCGCCACTGACACCCGCCTTGACACCGCAAAGGGAGGACACTCCGGCGCCAGAAAATCTCAGTTTACGCAAAAGTGGCAGTCCCCCACAGACGCAACAGACTTTGCAACCGGTAGATTTGGTTCAACCTAGGCCTAGTCCTCCACTACCCCCGTTAGCTGTGAGTTTTCCCACTTTAGATCTTACAATTATTAGACTTATTGTTTTATGAAATCTGGAGACACGATAGTGTCTCGGCGTTAAGACATGGCGCGAGACATTGCCGTGCCTCCTTTATATATACCATATAAGAAAACGATAAATTAAATATAAAGAGTCGTAACGGTTTCACGCTCAAGTATATCTTCATAATCTTTGTAATGCGCGCGCACATATACTCGTATGTATATAACAGTGTATAGAAATGTTTCTTCAATCTGTAATAATTTTAGTTTTAATTTACAACAAAACATTATCTTTATAATTTGGAAACATCTCAAAAAGTTTTACTTTTTTTTTATAGCTCTAACTGTACTTGCGATTGAAAGTATTTAATATTCTGTTTGGAGGTAAAAGCTAAAGATTTTATATACATATGTATATTATGTATAGAATCATCACAGAAATATTGCAATGTATAAGATTCGCCGTAAAGTTGAGATTATAAGATTCTCTTGAGAAAAAACATGCGACATATTTACACATTACGCGACGTAAATGTATAGGTAGTGTCAAATGAAAGAAAGGAAGAAAGAAGTTTATTTGAAGTTTACGCGAAACACGATAGGCTGCAGCTACATATACGAGGTTACAATAGTTAATTCTTAAAGGCGAAATACGGTCGATTGCAGGCCGCGACGACGGTTCATTTTCCTCCTTATGCACCTCTCTACGGGCCGACGGCGAGCTCGCTAGCGTATTGCTCGCCGGCGCTTTATCAGCACCAGCATCACCACCACATCCCCGAGTCGCGGGAAATTCAGATGCAGATGCAAATGCAAAGTATCCAGCAGACTTGTGGACTGCAGCTACAGCAGCAGCAGCAGCAGCAGCAACAGCAGCAACAACAGCAGCAACAACGTTCACCGGTGGACGTTCTACTGCGTGTATTCCCTGGGAGACGTCGCGCCGATGTCGAAGCGCTTCTTCATCGTTGCAAAGGTAAGACTTCCTTAACTTTTCTCTCGAGTAATTTTTTAACCATGTACAAACAAGACAGTATTTATTTCGAAAACGTTATCAATAGTATTGTTATTAAATTAGTGGATAATTCTTACAATTAAATTTATGTTTACTTGAAAAAAATACAACTATAACGTATATTTGGTTACTCGAAAGGAGTTGATACGAATTTTCGCGATTTTCTCATGAGAAGACTGCGATTAAAATAATATTTTTCATTATTTACGTGTAATTTTTTAATTATTTATATACCTATTATTGTTCACTCGCAATGTGATGGTATTCATTGTTCATTTTATAATATCATTTGCTGGATTAGTATCTTTAACAAGGTTACGACACAAGGTTATCGGTACAAGTGTGTGTGATTGTAAATTTTCCATCTGGATAATTGCAAGGATCTCCTTTGTCAGATTTCTCTTGTTATGTGATATTGTCGCTTCATCGATCGTAGTCATAGTCGGCGATAATGTAAATTGTAAATGGTCGAAAGTCAGCCGCGCGCCGCGGGCGTGGTGTCTGGCGAAAAGAGAAAAAGAGAAAAAGAAAAAGAAAAAAAAGAAAAAGAGAAAGAAAAAGAAAAAGAAAAAGAAAAAAAAGCGAGAGAAAAGGAGAAAAAGAGAAATTTGCCTATGTGTCGCAGGCGACGTGGTGTCTGCCATGGAGGTGCTGATCTGCGAGGACAGTCTGCCCAAGTCGGCGTTCTCGCCCCTGGCGGCCGCCGTGG